GGCGGCCATCCCCCGGGCACCGGGGCCGCTCCCTCCCGCAGCTGATTTCTGATCCCATTGCTAGGTAAATACTTGGCCGATAATTGATGGAAGCTTATGCCAGTCTGTGGAAAATACCCAAGGACTGCCGTGCGCGGAACGGGTTTTAAGGACAGTTTAAGGAAAATGAACTAAATCCTGCACTCGGGACATTTCTGTTGGAAGTGTCGACAACTTTCAGCATTTTTTTCCTTGGAAAACACCGTCTTGACCAGTCCTACAGTATTTACTTCTAGATGTAACATTGTTAATGGTTTTAAAATGTAATTATTGTATTTGTAAATGGTACTCATTCCAGTAAGGCTGTATTTTGGCAGTTAGACTCTTGAGTTTTAGCATTTTACCATTCATGAAATGGATGTAATTTAAACTGTGGTATATAAATTTAATAGTAGTACTGTTGAATGGCACAATGCTTACAGAGGTAGATTACATTTTGTCAATATATCCGATCTAAATACAATACTGATAGCTGTTACGAAGGGGGTGCCTCATAAACAGAGAGTTAAGTAGAACCGACATGCTGATTTACTTTTTCTTCAGTCCTTAGTATGTCTCACGGCGACGAATACGAAGCTCTATCTCCAGGTTTAGCTGGTTTAACTCCAGAAAAATATTTCTGTAAACGTGGAGGTTCCTCATACAGTCCCCCAGCAAAAAGCAGGAGAAAAATGTCACCTCTATAAAGAGTATTTACGTCAAATTTCGGTGACAAGCAACCTCCGTGAGCACATCCTTGCTCTCTTGGAGCGGCAGCTGAGCGGTCAGGAGTCCCGGCAGCGTGCCCACGGGCGACGAGCATATCTCCACACCCTGACATTTTTCAGAGATGCAGAGAAGGAAGCAAGCAGGCAGAGAGGCTGGGCAGCAGCTCTGAGCTTACAGCGCTGTCCCGAAAAGCTGCTGCTGTCTTTAGGGACACGTTTTCCGAGCAGTCTCCAGAATTTTGGTTGTGTTTCTACGTTGCTTTGCTGGTTTTTTCCTATTTTTCCCCCTCCATTTTTGAAAGCCCCACGGGTTTAGAAAATGCTTTAAAGACATGCAGCCGCCTCCGTGCCTTTCCATTTTACCACTTAGGCAGGAAAGTGTATACATATA